TGTGTGTGAGAGGCATAAATCAAAAAACAACACATATACACACGTTATCAAGTGTTCTATAAGTGTGAGCGAATTTATGTCATGCTTAGATTGACCTTTGTGTGGATCCAAGAAACAGGGAGGCACTGAAACAGCAGCAGACTGTATAGGCCGGGGCAGGGTCTTGCTTTAACCCCGAAATGTTTCACTATTTTTGACTTTGGACAATAGACAAATGATTATCCAATTTACTGTAGAGCTGTCAACTGTTATATTTATCGCTATTATATATATATATAATAAGTGTTTTTTAATAACAGTTAAGTGTTCTGAGTAATTTCTTCAGTCAAAATGTCCAAAGTCTCTGATTTCAGCTTCTGAAATAAACTCTATCTTCAGGCAAGGGTGTAGCACAAACATTTTGAGTCTGTACATAGGCATTGTCTGTGGGCCCCTCTCCAAATTCACAGCTATTCATTCTTGTATCTTTGTATATTCTGCCCCCTTTTCCCCCCCACTCTGACACCTCTAGCTTTGGGAAACGGTTTTCACCATTTGAACTTTTAATAACAATTAATCGATTAATTGAGAAAATGACAGACAGACTAATCAACAACATAAATAATCTCTGTGACCTCTTCCGCTCCCGTTCGGGTGATGTTGTTCCTGTTCTGGTGTGTTTATGCTGTGGTGGCTGACGGGCCGCTTTGTGACACACCCCTTCTTTCGCTGATGTGCATTCCTGCTGCAAGTACCAGCCTGTGGCACACATGCACATGCACCGATCACGCCCTCCTGTCAGCACAAATGGCAATTTATAGCTTATCAGTTTTATCTTTGTCTTCAGGCAACATTTCTCTCTTGTCTCTTCTCTCTGTTGCTCCCTGTCTCTAATGTCCCTTCCTTCTTCTTTCTTCTTTTCTGAGTTGCCACTCGGTTGCTATAAAGCCATCCAAACAGGATGGTCTTGGTCTGACCCTGCTTTATCACCATGCTGGGTGTATTTTTCCAGTAGGAGCAGCTGACATGTCTTGTATCGCAGTGCCGGCAGCTTGTGAACACAGTTCTAGTAGTTCTGCATGTAGGCAAAGAACCCCTCTGATGTGAAGCACGCATGTGTTTTAACAGCCTTTGTTTCCTGACCGACCTGCTGCTCTGCTCCTTGTCTTCATCATGCATTCCAACCTCCTCTACTTCTTTTTGGTTCAGACCCCCATCCATCCCGACCTTGTCCTCAAACTCTCACTGCAGCTTTCAGACTTAAATATTCAGCCTTTTCAGTAGCCCCAGCCCCCCAGGTGCAGCCCCAGGCCAGCGCCCTTATGCAAAAACATCCAAGAAAAAAAACTCATTCAAGACCTCATTGTTGTTGAGGTTGTGCTGCTGCTACTGACAATTATTCCAGTCTAGACAACAACAACAAAACAGATTAAATTGATAACTATTTGAGGAAGCTCTCATGTCCAGAGCCATGTTGTTCTTGCAGCCTCGTTCTGGTTTCATGGTCTCCTCAGCCCTTATCAGTGTTGAAAAAAAACTGCACACAGCTGCTGTCAGAATTGAGATTCACACGCATGTTAACATACCAACAGCTGTAACTCTGACACCCTGCAGAAGGGCTGAAATCAAGTCCCTTGAATGCCATCAGCACCTGGCCTCAGATTCTTACAAGAACCTTCTTCATTCTTAACTACATTCTAATCACTATCAGCTGGAGAAGCACAAACACACTGCCCCACCCTTTCCTTAAAGCTGGACCTGAGCAATCACCCCTTCTGATCAACTGCTTCTTGTGCAACATGTGCACACACTGCAGTTGTGTGTGTGTGTGTGGCTTCTCTTCCTCATGCCCGGGCTCGCTTCTGGTTGCATCACTTTCTCCTGTGTTTTTAGCCGAGCGTGTGGTTCTGTCTGAACACGGACAAATGCCTCAGGTGCCATTAAGAACAACCTATTGCTAGACGTGCTGCTGTGTCAGTCTGTTGCAATATGGTAAGCGAGTTTGCATCTATAATTAATTCTCTGAAACCACAACTAATACAGAGAACATTGAGGATGATGTTGGCTGTTAAGGTGGCACATTCATGTATTGCAATTTTTAATATAGCTGTTCATACTTCTGCCCAGATGTCCCCATGTGAACATTTATATAATTGTTGCTGTATGATTCATGTGGAAATTTCCCTTGACACTTGTTCTTTCACACTTTGTCTCTTCCCCTTTGGATTATCTAGAATTTGTCTCAGCCAGAGACAGTTTTACTATTTTTTTTTTCATGTTTGTCTTTTAACAGAATGTGTATTAGTAAAGTGGAGACACTAGAGGGAAGGTACGTTTTTTTTTTTTTATCTTTCAAAAAGAGAGGCAACTCAAAGGGCTTTACGTGTTACAAAAATGACTCAGAACAATCCTTAAGAGGACATTTAATTGCGAATCATATCACAATATCTGTCAAACTAATCACAGTATGATGTTGTCGCCATACCGTTCAGCCCTAGCCCAGTATCTGCACTAAGATCACGTAGACCACGGTCGTTTTATCTGAATAACCTGAATACCTTTTATCAGTCTCAGAGCTGTGATGTGGTCTGCAGCCAGATTTAAATCTGTACAAAAGGCTATAAAGTACCACCCGGGTTGGTCAACATAAACCATTGTTTAGTCTCAGACCAGACCACGGTGGATGATTTCTAGGTATGCACCCACTCCTCCTTAAAGACAGAGCCATACATTAGATAGTAGATTGCAGAGAGACTCTGAGGGGATTTGGAATTTGAAGCACAAATCATTACAGAGCTTCACTTCTGAAACACTGAGGTTTAAATAGAAGATCAAAGATCAAAAAAGAGCCAGAGTCATTCCTCTTGGCAACTGCCATTTTTCCTCCTCTATTATTTCCTAATGGTTTTTAATCTGATTGTATTTTAAAGGAGAGGCTGCATCTTAACTTCCAAATCTTTGGAATTTTTCAAGTGACCTTCCACCCTTTCTATACCTCGCCCTCCTTTCTTTTATTGTACTAAAACGCTTTTAAGTAAGAAGTCTGTCGTCTATGATCTAGATGCCAGTTTCTTCAAGTTTTTGTGAATGTTTAAGCATGTGTGACATGACTTCGAATCCTGTCTCTCTTCCTCTGGACTGTAGACTCTAAAGCCATTGTGGATGGGAACCTGAAGCTGATCCTGGGTCTGATCTGGACCTTGATCTTGCACTACTCCATCTCCATGCCCATGTGGGATGAGGAGGAGGAGGCGGATGATGGCAAGCAGAAGACGCCCAAGCAGAGGCTGCTGGGATGGATCCAGAACAAGCTGCCCGAGCTCCCTATCACCAACTTCCACAGAGACTGGCAGACCGGTCGGGCCTTGGGTGCCCTGGTTGACAGCTGTGCTCCAGGTGAGACATCTTTTGTGTTCCTGTGTCTCAAAGAGGGATTCGTGTGTATGAGCGGAGGGTGGGATCATGTTCTGTGTGTTTCAGGGGTCAGTGGAGGTGAAGGGCTAGAATGTGTGTGTGTGTGGTGTGCATGTGTTTCCGCCACAGCAAGGTTGTTAAATTAACACCAGCCGAGCACTAAGTGTTAGAACATCTTAATAAAATTAAATAATAATAAATAACTTTGCAGACTTAAAAATACAATGGATGATCTGTAAGGTTGTTACAAATCAACAAGGTACAAACTCTCCTCCCTGCCTAAACCCGGCATGTCTTTGTTGTCCCTGGAGTCAGAGTCCTGGTAGGAGCTGCTGTAAATCACATATTCCGTCCCGGCTCCGTTGCAGAAAACCTCCCTTGTACTTACAAGCTCACAGTCAGGTACAGTCAGATGGGACTGCTAACTAGTAATGATGATGAGCTGAAGGGGGATGAGGGGTAGTGCTGAACCTTTCCATTATGGCTAAATTAGGAAAAGAGACAGGAGGAGCAGGGAGATGAGGAGACAGAGGGGAGGAGGGATGTAGGTGAAGGAAAGTGAGGCATGAAGGAGGTTTCTGTTTACATGCTCAGGATGTTTGGCATACCTGTGGATCACCAACAGCCTTGAGCCAGAGATAAGGATTCAACAAAAGCTTTAATTCCCCTCCAGCAAAACATTTCCAAAAATAACAACCCCAGAGACTAAAGACTCAGTTAAGTTTTTTTATTTTATTTAAAAATTTAAATACAAAATTTGCTGACACACTTTGCCAGGATACGCTTGTGTGATAAAGAAGGAACAGCATGACATCCAGTGGATGAATTCAGGGGCAGACATCTTGACAAACCACAGAGACAGATGTGTGGCCCCAAACCAGATTACTGCTGCAGATTCACCTTCAAATAAAGATTAAGCATGTTTTGCGTTCTCCCTTTATCTGCTGGACGTCGTCAAGGCTGTAACTTTGGAGTCAACACATTGACAGGCTGTAACACAAGAAGCTCTCAGATTCACGTCTATGTAAATGTTTAACTATTTTATACTGAATTATGATTGTGTCTGTTTTTCATGATTTTAAATTTCAGGAAACATTTTTAGGTTTACACAGTCCTGTCATATTGTCATTTAAATGTCCTTATCATGATATGTTTCTACTTGAATACATTAATTGATGAGTTATTGCCCCACTGCTGCCTGTAGAAAGTCCAACTTACCTGCTTCCTTTCCTGCAGGTCTGTGTCCTGACTGGGACCAGTGGGATCAGACTAAACCAGTGGACAACGCCCGTGAGGCCATGCAGCAAGCTGACGACTGGCTGGGTATCCCACAGGTAAAATAAGTACTATTGCGATGAACCGATAAGCTTCTTGTGACATAAGAAATAACACGTTCATAAGCAACACACCCAGGAATTCTGCTATAGCCTTAGTTGGTCTTCTATGGCCAAAAGCTAATGCTGGCTAATGTTGGGCAACTTGAGACGTATTGTATATTGTTGTGTAACTGAATCAGTTTGCTGACTTTGTCTTGCGTCTCTGTTCATGATACTATTACTGTGAAGCATACAACTCATGCAACATCCAGTGCTGCCAACCTGGCAACTTTCTTGCTTGATTGAACAACTTTTCAGATCCTCTTAGCAACTTTATTTCTAAAAAGCAACAAGCAAGAATGAGTTTGGAGCACTCCTTCTTTTGCGGCATAGGACAACAACTCCACTAAACTACTCTGCTAATTACATAATATTTGTCATGTATGCATGTATGCATGCATGTATGTATGTATGTATGTCACAAAAGCTATGGCGCTGTGGCACCAGGCCTGTCAGGAGCAGAGGGCCAACACTCAGAGCGAGTGAGGAGTCTAATGAGGAGGTTTAATTCAGTGATAGACCGACTGATCAATTGGACAATTAATCAGGCTGATTATCTTATAGGCATTTTGAGATGTCTGCACTATAAATGGCAGGCCGTCAGTGTGGCTGCTGTGGAACAAATTAGTGCCCCAAAATGTTGCTCTGACCTCTTCTTTTTTGTATTTAGAATAACACATTATCATCTCAATGAAAGGTACTGAAACAAATGTATGTGACATATCATTATTTTGGCTTGTGGATTTTTTTCATCCACCAATCACCTTGGCCTCCATGGGGCAGAATCTAATTAACATACAGTACTGGTGGGCTGTCGGAGAAGAACACAGCCATAACCTTTTATCCACTTTTGTGTTTGTCCAGAATGAAAAGCTCAACATTCAATAGAGAGGTTCACCAAACACAGTGTACAACTGCACTGGTTGTCGGGTTTGGTCGCTCTGGTGAATGACAGCAATGTGTTGGCATGATTGGCACAGTGCAGGCAGCTGGCACAGCATAGCGTGCTGACAGTTGGCTCTGTGGTCGCTGCTGTTTCCGCCTTCAGCTCTGCTTCTGCTCAGAAACTCTTTGTCCCTTCCCCTGTCGCCTTTGTGGGTTGTAACTCAGACAATAAGGGTGTCTGTATGAGTGGCTTGCGTGTGAGTCTGTCTCAGGTACTTTCTGAGCTGAGGAAGAGGTTGGTATGTGGTTTTGATCACCAAATCACAACACCTCAAAGTTGATTTTTGTTGAGAGTAGGCTCCATGGCAACTAAGCAAGCACAGCTTCAGGCTATACAGCTGTAGCCTCTCTTCTCTTTCATCAGCAAACATGCCAACAGGGAAAAAACTGCCCTTTCATTTGGAAATTATTTCTTTCCATGTCTTAGGTGATCACCCCTGAAGAGATCGTTGACCCCAATGTGGATGAACATTCAGTCATGACCTACCTGTCCCAGTTCCCCAAGGCTAAACTGAAGCCTGGTGCACCTCTACGACCCAAACTCAACCCCAAGAAGGCCCGCGCCTATGGGCCAGGTACACACACACAAACACAAACACAAATCTGCAATGAGGCTTCAACAAGGAAACAAATGTAGTTGTATTTAGCTGAGCAGCTGGATCAGCTTAGAGCAACAGGGATGATTAACTTGTTTACAGCCATGGACCCAAAAAATTAGTTTGGACTCCGGCAAAAATGAATTTAAACTCACCCACACCTACAGCCCTGTGTGTGTAGTCCAGGATCATATATGACATGTCATGCACAGGACATTCCTTATGTACTGTCACTCCTCCTCTCTGAAGGTGTTGAGCCTGTTGGTAACGTTGTGATGAAGAAGGCCTTGTTCACCGTTGAGACCATCAGTGCAGGAATGGGAGAGGTGCTGGTTTACGTGGAGGACCCTGCAGGACACAGAGAGGAGGTGAGACACTGGGGACTTAAATCCTTGTGAAATACTGTCTTTTAACTGTTTTGGTCATCATGTCACACTAACATTTTGAAATTGTTTTCTTTCAGGCTAAAGTGACAGCCAACAATGACAAGAACCGCACGTACTCCGTCTTCTATATCCCTAAAGTCACAGGCATGCACAAGGTAAGTTAAGAGCCATTTTTGATGTTTTTGGTTCCGTTTGGTTATGTTGCATGCTTTTAAAATAACTCTTAAAGAAAATTATATAGAATGCATTTTAGGGGACAATATGGTGACGGTAATATGTAATAATATTAATATTATATAATATATATATATATTATAAGATATAGTTCATAAAATTGATGATATCTGGACTTGGATAATTTAACATTAAATATATAGATAGATTAATCAATTAAAAAGCATTTATACATTTTTTTTGCCTAGATCAACACTTGCCCATTATAAGATGATGAGCTTCCTAGCTAGCAGTAAAAGTCTCCCGACAACCCATGATCAGATACAAAGACATTTCACAACTTTTATACTCATTCATTACTGCCAACAGCACAGAAAATATTGAAGACTTTGTAAATTCAGAACCTTTTTTAATGCCTTCTGAGTCAAAGACATTGACCTGCAGAGATCCTATAAATGGGACCTGAGGGTTCACTGATTCCTTTCTGCTTTGTAGGTGACAGTATTGTTTGCAGGGCAGCACATCTCCAAGAGCCCCTTCGAGGTGGAGATCGGCATGGCTCAGGGAGACTCCAGCAAGGCCACGGCTCAGGGACCAGGCCTGGAGCCCACAGGAAACATTGCCAACAAGACCACCTACTTTGACGTCTACACAGCAGGTAATAACACAGGCAATATGAGGTTTGGTTTCTCTGCTTACCATCAGGTTAGAAAGTCTGCATGGATGTGTTTTGTTGTGTCTTGTTACTCCTTTTATACTAAGTGTCCGCTGTTTGCCTGTTTCTCTCAGGCGCTGGTGTTGGCGAGGTGGAGGTGATGATCATAGATCCTGCCGGCAAGAAGAACACGGTGACTTGCACCATCGAGGACAAGGGCAACAGTAGCTATCGCTGCACCTACAAACCCACCCAGGAGGGCCAGCACACCATCTATGTCACCTTTGCTGGTGGTCAGATCAGCAAGAGTCCCTTCACGGTCACCGTGGGAGAGGGTAAGAGTTGTAGACTTGATTCCTTAGCAGCACTAGTCTATTGCAGTATTACAGAGAAACCTTGCTTATAAGTGATTCTGTATAGGATGTTACTTGCTTACTGTTACATTCTGTGCTTTTAATTTTCCTGTAAATAACCAAAATGACATTTTCAGTGACTATTAGGAATATATTATTTATTTGTTCACTCTGCTGGTTTTTCTTCTAATGTAATGCTTTGCTGTCTCTTCCTGTCATTGTATTGGATGCTGTGTCCTCTCTCTGTCTGTCTTCCCCTCCCTTCTTCCCTTCTTCCCTTCTTCCCTTCTTCTCTTTGATAGAAGCCTGGTGGTATCTGTCCTCTCTCTGGAATGGCTTCTTCCTTCTGCTGTCATTTCCTGTTTCCTGGGATCTCTCTTGGGTACCCACTGTGTGTGTGTGCGATTGCATGCATGAGTGGGTGAGCTGAGTGTCCACGTAGATACTGCACTGCGTTATCATATACTGTGTGTGTGTGTGTGTGTGTGTGTGTGTGTATTTCTGCAACTAAGCTCACTTTTGACTCTCCCAAATTCAAGGAAATCATCCTCCGTGAATATTAATTAAACCCGCTTCCATTCTCCCATAGGTGTTTGGATTTGATTCACATTATTTTCAGTTTCATCAAACCATCCAATGACCGGCATTTGTCATGTTTCTCCACTTAATCCCTGAGGTTTTTTCTTTAATTTGTTACCGTCTCTATTTATCAAGCATCATATGAAGAACCCTTTTACGTAAATTCTAAATTTCACTGTTGGGACTTAGTTGCACCCACAGTTGCAGAAACCCCTGTTTGTCTTTCTGAAACGGCATTTCTGTACTTGTGACAAATTTAACTCTGTAGACTTGATTTATGTGTGTGTGTGTGTGTGTGTGTGTGTGTGGTGTGTGTGTGTGTGTGTGTGTGTGTGTGTGTGTGTGTGTGTGTGTGTGTGTGTGGTGTGTGTGTGTGTGTGTGTGTGTGTGTTGTGTGGTGTGTTGTGTGTGTGTGTGTGTGTGTGGTGTGTGTGTGTGTGTCATCTGCCTGTAATACTTACTTGAAGAAATTCACAAACATGTTCTCATATTTCGATGGAAGAACACCACCATTAAGCAGCAGTTTTCTATTTGCCCAGGAAACAGAAGCCTCATTTCTTCCAGCTCACTCGTGGTCNNGTATGACCGGCATTGTTTAAATTGTAGCTTTTGGCACAATGATTCATGTTTTCCAAGGATTAAAATAACAGATATGTGGTAGGATTGTAATTAGCTTTGCTTCTCTTAGAGAAATTAACCTTTAAGTTGCATTGGGTGTGTCCAACCCAGACGACAGAATGCTTCAAAAAAGGAAATGAGAAAATATTATAACATAAATATCCAAACATTTTGGTACCACTTTTTAAATAGGCACTTTTGATATGGTTTATATGTTTTAACTATGAAACTGAGTTATTAATGGTTAATTGTTTTCTTAAAAGTACTTCATATATCATTGGATTGCTAGGTTATAAATAAAATAGCATTGTTTCCACTTCCTTGAAAGCGATGTCATGTAGCTTTTGCTAAACAGTGGCAACTGTAGCAACAAGAGGCACATGGGATGATGGTAAATGCTACTGATAAAAAACTCTTCTACTGCTCTAAGACAGTAGTTACCAGTGCCCAGTGGCAGCACAGTGCACATGGCCCCCCTACTCTGACTCTGATTGGCTAGTACTTGTTGCCTTCCTTGGTTTTGGTTGGATGGTTAGATTGGTTAGGGTGCAAATATCAGGGTAAGCCAATCATATCATTTTAGGTACTGTCAGAGGAATTTCTGCCTAATATGCAGGGGTGTGTATGCATATATGCCATGTAGTACCAAGACGGGACCCTGCTACTTCCCAGGATGACAAAGTCGTTATCTGTTTATAACTGGAACAACTGCAGTTCTAAAAAAAGGTTTATTGACCAGATCTGCTCCTATATGTGTTAAAATGATTTTGGTCAACCCATTTATAGACATAAGTGGTCAAAGGGTCAAATTAGTCAAAGGCTGCCCCACCGTTGTTCTTTTAAATGGCTTATAGCTAATAAAAATATTAGTAAAAATAAAATGTATCCACCATTAATAAAGCCATTCAGTATAAATTTGTTGTGCCTTATTGGAAAGTATAGGGACTTGCTACCAATTGTGATAACCTAATGAAAAATAATTTTAATCACAAACGTTAGTCAGTGTTGAGATCTGAATCCAGGATGGGAGTCTTTTATTATTCAGTTTCACATTTTCTATTTATTCTGAAAAGAAAACTTCTTCTTGGTTTTAACCAAGCAGATAACGCTTCTAAAATTTGTTACAGTGGTTACAGTATACCAGACCTGCACACATGACCTGCCAACATCAAAATAGATTTTAATATAATGAATTATAGATTTATTATTTATCTTAGAGTGCCAAGTAGCTCACTCCCTGGAAAATATCTTGTGCTTCTGTTATTGTGGGGTTTCCTTTGCTTCCTGCATGGCGGCCAACTGTGACTCAGCAGCTCCTATTTTATACACTTTTAATCAGGAGATGTGAAGATGCTCCACTTCCTGTGTGAGGCTGACTTCCTTTCCTGTGGTCTCTGAATTTACTCTGCGGAATAAGATAGATGGATAAGAGGCATGGGAGGGGGTGGAGGGTAGGAGGAAGGCGGCAAAGGACAATTGAAAAGCATCGAGAGCTTTGATCCTTCTTGAAAATGATGGATGTACCGTTCGGATGGAAATTGTTTTGGTTTCATATCATTCATCCCGCACCTCATTCCTCTTCTCCCCACTGAAACCACCGCTGAACTCACATGTGGTCATAATGTTGGAGTCAGAATACCGAGAGCTGCTCTCTGTGTTTGTTTTTCTCTCATTCTTTTTGATGTGTGTCTCTCCACAGCATGTAACCCCAGCTTGTGCAGAGCTAAGGGTCGTGGGTTGCAGCCAAAGGGCCTCAGGGTGAAGGAGACTGCAGACTTTAAGGTTTACACCAAAGGAGCCGGCACCGGAGAACTCAAAGTCACCATCAAGGGACCCAGTGAGTTATACTGCAAACACTGTTTTATTATTGCCATTTGAGTTATCTCTCTACACATCACTCTAAAAACAAAACTCTACATATCTGGATGCTGTGTGCACCACACTGCAGACAAAGTTAGCTATTAGCTGATGAACATAGTGTAGCATATAGTAGCTACTTTATGCAAAGCTTGAATATCCTGTTAACAATTTGATTTTGCTGGTTTACTCAAATATCTTCTCTTCTATTGTCTAAAGACAAGAACACTTAGATTACTTATTAAGTTATTTGGGTGGTTTTTTTTTTTTAGTATTTGTGGCAGTTCTCAGTTGTAAGGTCATGTTCTACAGATGCCTGTTTGAACTTTTGTATTCAACTAAATGAGGAAAAAAAAAGAAAACAAACGCAAAAAACCTTGGAACTGAACCTACTTTTAGAAATTGGGAGAGGCAATTTTGGTGCATGTACCCTTGCACCGGGGAAACTGCACTGAGCATAAACAGAGCTTTACAGCGAGGCCCAGACATTCCTCAATTTCATCCTCAGGAGCACATTGACCATTCACAGTCAGGCATATACTAGTTTTCAACCTATTCTTGTTTAATATAGCCCAAAATCACAAATTTGCCTCAAAGGGCTTTAGAGTCTGTACCCATGACATCCTCTTTCCATAAACCCTCAGTTATGATGAAGAAAAACTCCCAAAAACCCCTTTAACAGTTTAATTTATTTTAATAATACGTTGTGGTTAAAGCTTGTTGCGTTGCTCCCAAGTGGTCAAAGACTAAATTATTGTAGATTTAAAGGGTAACTTTGCTATTTTTAGCCTGGACTTTTTTCATTTTTGTGTCAGGTTTTGAATATGATCCAGTATTGAGAGAGTGCTGAAGGCCACATAACGGGCTGCAGTGTAATCCTTGCTGACAATTGAACACCATCAAATTATGTCCATTAAAAGTGCTTGGTGCTGTGTTTACAGAGGGTCTTGAGGAGCCTTGTAAAAGGAAAGATCTCGGAGATGGTGTGTACGGATTTGAGTATTACCCCACCACACCAGGAACATACACCATCACCATCACCTGGGGCGGACAGCACATCCCCCGCAGGTATACACACTGGCATGGACACAAATACCGCAATTGAATTGCATGGACTTGTCACTGAGGCTGATCCCTTTGCTCTGTTTAGTCCCATTGAGGTCAAGATTGGAGCTGAGGCCGGCCAGCAGAAGGTGAGGGCCTGGGGTCCAGGGCTGGAGGGTGGTGTTGTTGGGAAATCTGCTGACTTTGTGGTGGAGGCTGTTGGAGACAACGTCGGTACACTGGGTAAGTAAGCCAGAGAGATGAAAGCGGTAACACACAGTAAGATTCCTGAGGTCCTGAAGTTTTACCTTCTGGGACTCACCGACGGCTCTTCTAAGCTTGCTGTGTTGGTTTTTCCTCCCTGTTCAGGGTTCTCTGTGGAAGGTCCATCTCAAGCCAAAATTGAGTGTGACGACAAGGGCGATGGATCCTGTGATGTGCGCTACTGGCCCACAGAGCCTGGGGAGTATGCCGTGCACGTGCTCTGCAACAACGAAGACATCCAGCATTCTCCCTTTATGGCTGAGATTGTCAACCCACCAGGCAAAGACTTCTACCCTGACAAGGTATGCAGGGACATGGACACTGGCTATTTCTTTCAGTGTTTAAATAATTTTCTAAAGCTCCATGTGTGTTTGTTCCAGGTTAAGGCGCATGGTCCAGGCCTTCAAAGCAGTGGTTTGGCTGTTGGAAAGCCCACTGAGTTTACAGTCGATGCCAAGCAAGGAGGAAAAGCTCCACTGAAGATTGTTGCTCAGGTAGAGCCTGCTTCATGTTTTAAACACATTTGACAGATCTGTTTCACTTTGGAATATTGTCTTTTTTAATTATTTTGGTTTTCCACATCTGCACAGGATGGCGAAGGTACTCCTGTGGATGTACAGGTTAAGGATAATGGCAATGGCACCTACGCCTGTACTTACACCCCACGTAAACCCGTAAAACACACTGCCATGGTCTCCTGGGGAGGAGTCAACATCCCTGACAGCCCGTTCAGGGTGAGTACACACAGAAAGTTTACACAAAGGACATTTTATCTCAGGAAAGTCTCTTCAGCTGTTATGTTTTTGACCACAGATGAACATTGGAGCAGGCTGTCATCCAAACAAGGTGAAGGTGTCAGGACCTGGAGTGGCCAAGACCGGCCTCAAGGCCTTCGAGCCGACATACTTCACCGTTGACTGTGCAGAGGCTGGTCAAGGTAAAGCTCCCTGACACTGTTGTACCCTGCACACAATAGGTCACAGCACAGTATTTTCTACTAGTGCATTACCAATGAAAGAATGTTTTCTGGATCTGTAATTTTTTTGATCAATCAGAAACAGGTTGGATTTGCCAGCTGTTACTTTTTTTTTATGTTGGTTCTTCTTATTGGACTCAAGTGAAAATCTTAAGTGGAATGTGTTTTTTGCTTGTTAAAACAACCTATAACATAAAAGTATAGAAGTTCATACAATAGCTGAAAGGATTAGTGTCTTATGATGACTTTGTCTCCTGTCCTCAGGTGACATCAGCATAGGGATAAAGTGTGCCCCCGGAGTGGTGGGACCTGCAGAGGCTGACATTGACTTTGACATCATCAGGAACGACAACGATACATTCACTGTCAAGTATACTCCTCCTGGAGCAGGCAGCTACACCATCATGGTCCTGTTTGCTGACCAGGTTTGGATCTTGCATTGTTTGTAGAAAAGTGTGCATTTGTAGTGTATTGTGTGTTAAAATGTGTGAGTCTGAACGCAGTATCACTGATGTTTGTTGTTCAGGCTATTCCAATGACGCCCATCAGAATTAAAGTAGATCCCTCTCATGATGCCAGCAAAGTCAAGGCAGAGGGACCAGGACTGAGTCGCAGTGGTAAGAACAACTGTTTAGTAGGTTGTTAAATTACACACATTACACATTTTTATTTATCTTCATATTATATTTAAACCCCCTGCACGGAACTTTCATTGTGTGTTGATTCTGGCAGTCCCTGTG